GTCCAATAGTGAATGTAGCCACCCAATCTGCAAGTAGGTATGCTATCCAGAGTGGAATCTTGATGAACCATTTCCCACCTCTTCGCTTTCTTAATTGTGCAGACAGAATTAGGAAAGACTGCACCAAGAGACTCAGAATAATTAGGACTCTGATATTCCAAGTATCCCATAGCTTCTCGACGTGTTCAGCAATGAGCAGTGGCATCATCTTAATCTGCTTTGTTTTTTTTTTGCCAGAGGTAGTCAAACTTTAACCAACACACTTAGGGATGCACAATGAGTCTAGTTCAACAACAACGTCCTGAGTTGGACATCCTCCATTAATATTAATAGATAACAGACTTCGATTTCAATTTTTTGAGACTGGAAACTTTACATGTTAAGAGAAAAAAATTTAAAAATTCTAATGTATTTTATTATTATTAAATATTTCAGTAATGTAGTTGATTGATTTTGGTACAGCTACAGCCCTTCTCCCCTGTTTTTTCGTTTTTCTGTTATACTACTCGGACCGTTCGGTTCGGTTCGCATTGTAACTTTTTTGACAGTTCCATATCTCTAATAAGCAATTTCTTAAAATAATTAATTTTAATCGATATTTTTATATTTTAATAATTTATTATACTTTCTCTCTTTTACATTAATAATTTATTTGTTATTATTCTTTCTCTTATTATCATCTTATTTCTGTTATTCCTTTTTAGTTATATCTTTAAATTTTTATCTATCAAAATATATTTCTTTTTTTTACACCAATTTTTACCTTTGCTACTTTTCCACTTACATATACTTAAAGCTTTTATTAATTTTTCTTGAAACTCTTTCTTTTAGCTTTTTATCCCATATTTTATTATTATATTTATTTATCTATTCTACATTCATCATTATTTTTATTTTATATATTAATAATTTGTTTGTTATTAATATTTCTCTCCTTATTCCTATTTCTTTAATATTATCATTTCTTAATCATTTCTTGAATCTCTATTTATTATTATATACTATTTTTACCTTAATTTCTCTATCTCTCGCTTCCCAGTTATATTACAATTGTTATGACTGTCTTGAAAGCTATAAGGCCCTTACTTTACTAGTTTTACGAATCTTTGATGGTTTAGACTTCTAAAAAATAAAATATCTAAACATTTTAAAGTTCCTCATATAGGCTCTTTCTTTATTCTTAGGTTCTTAGGTTCTTAGGAAGTGCTCTTAGTTATTGCTTAAGTTAAAGTGGTTCATTTAGAATTTAAAATTTATTTTATACTTTTGAAATTGATTTTTTAAGTTAATATAAGCATTATAAATTTGATACGCATTGGTTACATGTACTACAATTTTTAATTATTCATCATTTTTGAAATTAAAATTATCATTATTTAAAAATACATTTATATAGAATTAAAAAAGAAAGAAAAAACACTCTTAGATGACGGGAGGCCCACATATTTGGGAACCCTCCCCATCCTAGGTTTAGTTTTGTATAATTTTATATAGTTTAAACTACACAAAATATTTATACGGTAACAACAATAAAAATTAAAAATATTTAGGTGAATCATGCAGTACCTTTTTCTCCGAAATCAATCCATCCTAACTTTCTTTGTTTCAGATCTTGGCACTCCAATTTGCTCCCTCCAACAAAATTTTTGCAAAATATTTAGTAATCATCATCATCATCATTATTATTATTATTATTATTACAAATAAAAGACTAAACTTTGTAATCCCTCTGTCCCAATATAGTTATCTTTTTTTCAATTAATCAATAATTTAAGGATAATAATTGTATTTATATATAATACTCTTTAAAAAATAAAAGATAAAGAGAGACTTTTTGTGATTAGATAATTAATTAAAATGAATGTATAATGATGGAAAAATGATTGATATATTTTTCGGTTCAATCATTAAAATTTATCTTTGAAAGTTTTTTCATCTTGAATTTATATTTGAAAATATTAGTTTTTTAATGATTGAACTGGTGAGTGTTGTTAGGTGTGTTGAATTAGAGGGTATACTAATCATTATCTATAATGATGAGATTGATATAAGAACAAAATATTTGTCTACCTTGATAAATAAAAAAATGATAATTAATTTGGATTTCAAATTTAAAATTAAAAACATTTAGTACCGTATCTTTTTCCTCGAAATTGATCAATTGGTCTTAACCTTTTTAAATTCAGATTTCGGCACTGTTGTTCTCTCCCTCCCAAAAAATAGCAAAATGCATTGATTCATATATAACGAGATATTTTAATAAAAAGAGCAAAGAATCATAGCTCTATGTAGCCAAAGAATACTCACCAATTGGCAGAAGCAGAAGAATGAATGAAGGAAAAAAGTTTGCTGCTGGAGGATGAGGAGAGAATTAGTCATATTTATGATATCATATAGGAAATCATGCGGGTATATATATAGAGCCAAAACACTGCTATTACGTATTCTTTTCTTCTTTCGCCGGCAAAGCAAGGCATAGAAGCATATATATCTTTATTGTAGGTGTTACATGCCGTTGATTTTTAGTCGTATGACTGGAGAAAGTGGAAGTTTAAAGAGCATGAGAAGATTATTAAGGGTTAAAATACTAATTTGTGGTAAGTTTAAAAGTTTAAAGATGAATTTGAATATAAAAGTTGAGGGACTAAATTGACATTTTCACCAATATTAATTGCAATCTGAGTCACGCATGAAGGTTGCCCTATATGTGACTACTGTACCAAGTTCCATGAGTGTCTTTCAGGCAAGGGAAAATTAGTGCAGCTTGGGTAAGAAGTAAAGTTCCAACAAGGCAACAATTAAAGGATATTAATGGAAAGTGATTTTTTTAGTTTTTATTTAATACACTTTATAATACACTCAATATTAAAAAATTATTACAGATTTTGACCCTACAGTTTGCTCCCTCCAACAAAATTTCTGGCAGCATACAATTATTACAAATAAAAAACTAAAATTTATATATAGACAAAAGAAAAGCCAAGCCTTAAATTACAGAGTACTCAAGTCTAGAATGTGAATCCTTGTTCGAATTTACTAAGGTCAAAGTTTTTCTTGGTTGAGTTCCAGCTTCTAATCTAGATAAAAAGGCAATGGAAGTCCAAATAGAATACTTAAGTTTTCATACTAAAAATTTCAAGTTTCAATCTTGCAGTAGACAACAAAGCTCAAAGATGTCTGTTTGAATGTACCTGCTTTCAACATTTTAAAGCAAGTGGTCGTGTGTTTAAAATGGTAGCTTTCATCAATCAAAGTAGCAAGTTACAGCCTTTCAGGTATTACAAAGTGATTTAATTAATTAGAACTCGGGTTGGACGCACGGTATGGTAGCCGCACCTGTGTTAATTGACTGACGCAGTTGAAACCATACCAAAGAATATTGGTTTTTGGTAATCCGTTGCCGACCGCATTTTACCAAGATTGCTGGGAGAAGGATTGATTACAATAAAAATAAAGTAAATAGGTCCCTGAGCTACAGAAGTTGCAGTGAATTAGCCCTTTGAGCTTTGTTTGTCAACGCTTTAATGCATTAATGTAATAATTAAATGAAATTAACAACTAAATTGAAAGTATTTATTTTCTTTCAATTATCAATATATGTACATGACAGTCATTTCTCTCTTTTGTCATCCACATCAGTTAAAATTAACAAAAATTATCCATAGTTATTAATGAAGGGCTAATTTGCCTTAATTACATGGTTTAAGTGCTTATTCGCTTGATTTTTAATTTAGGGGCGTAATTGCTAAAATGGGGAAAGTTTGAGGGCTTAAATAATGGTTTTGCCAAAATAAAATAAAAAACCCAATGAGATCTCCCGTGTAAGGGCTAAGGGCTCTCTTCCTCTTTATTAGAGTACGTATATAGATGCTTTATTTGGCTAAGATTACTACTAAAGAGGACGAATTGGTATGTATATGACTCTTTACTGATTGGGTAGAAGCAAGAAGGGAGTGGTTGAGACAAGAAGTTAATGATTAGTCAACAGGGAACATAAGAAGTTAAAAGGGCAAGGAATGTACCGGGAAAGGATTAATTTAGGTGTGTCATCGGTAATAGAATTTAACATCCTCGTGCTCTAATTAATAAAATTTATTTGCGCACGTCTTCTATGGTTGGGGCTAGCAATCCAGTTGGCTGCCTCGCTAGCTTTGTCTTGAAACAGCAGAGAACTTGTTCTTCCAATGCCATATGGGAATCAATGATAACATAATCAATTTTTTTTTTTTGTTCATCCTTCTACTAGATGCGCCTGCTACAAAAAAAAAAAAAAAAAAAAAACCATATGATTAGCAACTAATTTGTTGGTGTTAAACCCACAACTTAGTTCCTTAATCATTGTACAAATCTCTAACTCGGTCTCTGAAACTAAAAAAAAAAATTTATTTTTTATTTACCAGGTTACCAATAATCCTATTATTCTAAGGGAAGAGGGAAATGTATTGTCCCAGGGAAGTGTGTTTGGTACAACTTTTCAACCGCTTTCAGTTTCTTGATATTATTCATGTCTTATAAGTTTAAACTTTTTTTTTAAAATTTATATTTTTAAATCCTTTATTACTCTTAAAAAAACTCTAAACAGTAAACGATCAAAAGTTTCAAATTCAAGTTTTTTATAAACTTCTTTTTTATTTACTTTTTATTCATTTTTTTTATCTCTAAAAGTAACTTTTAAATTTTTTTTTAATAAAAACTTAAATTTATCACCCATAAACACTACTATAAAACTAAAAATCCCAATAAACTGCACAAAACAGCCCTATAACTCAAACCCGACGGGTGTTCCCACTTAAAGGTCCAGTGGTTGTCCACTTTACCCAAATGTGCAGAGCAAAAAAAATTTTGATTTAACCATTAATATTTTTAAATTTAATTTTAATTTGATCTATTCATTAAAAAATTGATTACATGACAGATAACAATGACACATCACTACATTAATACACGTAGGATTGACAACATGCCAAAAGAAAAAAAACTTAAAAAATTCCATCCCCTTTTTCTTTTCTCTCTCTTTCCCTTTCTCTTTCCTCTCCTTTGCCTTCTGCAAACCCTAATTTCATTCAGCTATTGATTATACAAAATCAGAGCCATGAACTCCACCAAGCGGCCCGATGGGTCGCAGACCGCGGGCCGCAGGTCGCGGGCCGCACGCCTCATTGAGGGAGGTAAGATGTTAACCAGGTCTGGGATCAAATTCTCAATTGCTAACGACTAATAAAACTATCCTACTAACCATTGCCCTCCTAAAAAAAAAAAAATCAGAGCCATATTTCTTTCAATTCGATAACCCAAGAACAAGGATCAAATATAGATAGCATATATGAAATCAAAGGAAGAAAAAAAGGGTTTCTAATTGATTTTATGAACACTAGATCACACATCAAACACAGTAAAGATTAAACCCACAAGAGATTCTTACACTGGAATCCTGCAAATCGAAGAATATGGGTCTTCTTTGCTCGATTCAATGCGTTTAAATTCAATAAATTGAACGAGAGATCTAACCAAGAATTACCTGTCTGTTTTAGGCGGCGATTGAGTGTATAGCCATTGCAAATCAAGCTCGAAATTGTAACTCCTGTGAGGTTTAGTTGAATTAAGGGCTCTGTTTTCTCTCTTCTTCCTTTCCTTCACCTTCTGCAAAACCTAACCCCTTAACCTCAAATTGCCCCCAATTATTCATCTCTTTCTGTCTTGCTAACTCAAAATTTACTCCCTTCGAACTTGGATTGCACCATCAAAACTAGTTTAGGAAACAAGTTGATGGAACCCAAATCTGGATGTGCGAATGGGAATAAGAAACCCAGATCTGGGAATGCGGGTTGCTGCACAAGGTTCTGGAGCAAAGATCAAAGTCTTCGGTTTTCTTGCAGATGTCATCTATCATGGCCTCAGTGGCTACATTGCAGCAGAGGAAGACGACAGAGGAGATGCAGAAAAATGATGTCGTCTACTAGATCTAGGTTGCAAGGGATGACAAAGAGGAAGAATCTACAAGAAGAAGTTGGGCTAGGAGAAGAGACGAGCTAGCTTGGGGAATCTAAAATGGTGAGCCAAACAGAAAGAGAGGAAAAATCTAAATTTGGGTTCAGTGTTGTTTTAGTTCAATTGAAGGAATTCTATGTTTTGGTGGGTTGATTTGGGAATTTTAGTGCGTTGGTTAGGGTGCAGCAAAGGACCAAACAACCTAATAAAAGATGATGCGAAGAAAGAAGATAGAGGCAAATTTGTAATTTTAGTATGATTGAATAAATAAAGTTAATTATTTAGTTTTATGTTATATTTCTCGGAAAATTGAAAATTCAGAGCGTCCAAGTATTAAAATTATCAGAACGTTTCAATTAAGATCATTTATTAAATAGATCTCTGATTGTACCCACTTAATAATATTTTTTTTTTTTTTGAACATAGGGGAATTTTTGGGGAGGGGGGAATAGAACCAAGGTCATAGCCTTGGAATATACACACCCTATCCATTGCATCAAGTGCTGCGGGTGTGTACCCACTTAATAATATATCTTACTTAATAAATAATTTTAATTAAATATTTTGATAATATTAATACCAAGATATTTTGATTTTTTGCATGCTTTATGTTTATTATTCATGTCATAATTTTTACTGTTTGAATTTTCAAATCATCAATTTTATTTTATTTCACATAATGTATCACATCATAAAAAAAATAAAAATACCCAAAAAATTAAAAAATAAATTTGTATAGATTAAATTAAAAGCATTTTTAAATTAAGAATCAATTTAAATACCAACGATCTAAATAACTAAGTGGTAATCGCTTTTCATTGAAAGTAAGAGATTCTGAATTTGAGTTGCATGACATGCAGATGAGATGGGATAAGAGATAAG